AGCACCGGCACCGTTTCAAAAGTACCGATTTGGCACCGGTATCGGATAAAACCTAAACGATACCCATCCCTACTCCCGACTGTGTCCAAGTTTCAGTCGTCTAACTGTGGATTTGAGGTGAAGTTGGTGAATTTGAAGATAGTGCTCCTTCATTATTCTGTTACTGCACAGTGTACCAGTGGCAGCAAACCAGTCCCAGAGCACAGTGCTACCACCAACATGCTTGACATTGGCAAGTCCATGACATGCTTTTAAATAGCATAGTGTTAAAGTCAGGAGAGGTGTCTTCTCAAAGTTCATTAGTAGATTCAGGAAATCACCACACATCACGACGTTACTAGCTGTGAGGCTTTCTATTCTACCCGGGCTGTAGATCATCTGGGCACATGTCAGGCCCCATAAGTACTTTTGCACCAGCATCACCAGTGTCCAGTAAAAACACTACCTCCACCATCATCCTGTACACTACACGTAAGAAAGGGAAACTGCATAAAATATCTCAATTCTCAATGTTTTTGTGAGCAGAATTTTAATATTCTGATAAAGAGGCCTTACAAGTACCTATGAAGCGCCTTGAGGTGACTTTTGTTGTGATTTGGCGCTATATAAATAAAATTGAATTGAACAAATGATAATCTTTAAATAAAAAATTACCAGTATTTTCCTTAATGCTCCACTAGTAGAAATGAAATCAGAATTATTAAGAGAGTTGCTGTCCAGGCGTTGTGCTTTTAAAAACATTAAATCGTGTACTGCTCATATTAAAGTGGGCATGAAAAAACGACATGTATGAAGCCCCCGCGGAAAAACTGATGCAGGTCTAACACCTAAAACATTGCTTTTAGTTACAGTGTTTACATCAGAATAAAGTCAGGAATATGACATCAGTGGGTTGGTTGGTTGCTGCTAACACTAAGTCCTGTTAGCTAACCAGTGAGCATGAAGCACATTTCATTGAACTGGACACACAGCTGTTGGTAGAGTTTCTCATCAGCCGTGTTCCTTTGCAGTGTGTTGCTGTCTGCTCTGTGATGAAGGTGGAGCTGCTTCAGCTCTGCAGTGTCAGATACCAGCTGGGGGAGCAGCCATTCGAGCCGCTCGTGCATTTCTCTGAAGGAAGCCTGTCTCTGGGAGGAGGGTGTGATGGGGGAGGGTGGGGGAAAGCTCCCCTGAAGACATGACTTTGCTGAGACCCTCTTTACAGAGGCACTCGAGCAATGTGGCTTTCCTCTTTGTCTCATGTTTCCTCTCCTCTTCCTGTCTCATCTCAAGGTTGCAGATATGTTTTCAACATTTTTGATGCTGGCTGCTTGTAAAGATATCAGACGTGCCTGCTCAGTATGTGTTTTGTCTCTGCTGTGCTTTGATGATTATGTGACCTTCAAAGCCAAGAATGTCTTTGCTCACAAACACACGTTTAGGTTCGACTCAGCTCCAGTTATCTCAATCCCAGAGGTCACAAAGCAGTAGAGAAATGGATAGTTTTCATTCTTAGTTTTTGGATTGTTTCTGCATAAAGATGCAGAAAAACTACCTGCAGCCCAAAATGTTCCAGTTAAAATAAATCACTCTTTACTGGGAATGTGACAGTACGAGACCATGTCACTGCCATGAGTAAACTCCACACTGACAGGTCAGAGGGGGGAGTCGAACTTGGGACCTTTATCTGTGCAGATGATCAGTTAGCTGTTTGACAGCTACTCTTTTATGATTTATGGAAATATAAGGACGTTGGTGATGGGCCTATGATTAGCTAAGACGGCCGGCTGATGGCTTTTTAAGTAATCATTTAACTATTTAAGGGCCTGTGTTTCAGTAGCAATCATATTTAATATTGAAGCATTAATCAATGGTGTGTTACTTTCAGAGTAGGGCTGCTCAATTAATCGAATTTTAATCACGATTACGATCTGGGCTTTCAACGATCATTAAAAATGACTGAGCCGATTATTAGCCCCTCCCTCGTGCTTTACTCTCGCGCTGCTCTGTGTGGCAAATCGAGCGCACCTCTCTGCATTTCCAACACGTGTCACAACAATTAAGAGGACCCGAGGGAAGTTCGGAAAGCTCGGAAAGCTAAGCAGAAGTTATTTGTAGAGGAGAGTGACTGCCGTTGGTTGAAAAGAGAGGTAAAAAAAGAAAAAAAACTTCAGTGGTGTGGAAACATTATGGGTTGGCAGAGTCAGACGTGGATCAAGCAGACACAGTGTGTAAACTTTGCTACGGTGTCGTAGCTGCACCACAGAGCAACACTGCAAAGTTCACTAAACACAGATGTTTACATTTTTCATTTATTTTTTATATTGCAAACATTTGCACTGTTATCAGTATTTGCACACTATTTTATATTATTTTTTAAAGTCATTATTCAATACATTGTTATTGTTAACCCTTTAAATCCCTGTAGAACCGGAACCACGTAAGCTAGCGCAATAATTTGTTTTGCATATGAAACCGGAGGACTTGTACTTACATCTTATGCCATCAGCTTGTCCTCGGTCACGGTTTCCTTCCACATAAAGCTTTCATTTCATTTCCTGTCCGAAACCGGAAGTGACGTCATTTTCGCGGAAAATGTAGTTTTTTACTTGTAGGCCTTAAAAGCCTATACTGGTCATGTTTGACTTTATGCTTTTCTGAATAGTTGCTGGGATGCTTAGGACTCGAATTGCACTGCTGGAAATAGTTTATTTTGATGCACATGCTGTTTTCTTTGCAAATTTGCATCATAGGATTGTTTTTTTGTTTTTCCTGCAGTATATAAAAATTGGTGTATCTCCAAAATAAAACTATGAAGACACTCAAAATAAATTTCCTGTTGTTGTAAACTATTTTTTGCAACTTTTTTGTATTTAAAGTTTTGAGGGATAAACCTCTTAAATTTCTCCAAGTAGAAATATATGTAAAAAACAAAACAAAAACGATTTTC